CTTTAGAAGGAAATAATAGAACTTCGCTTTTAATTAAGTTAGTAGGTCGCTGTCAATTAGTGCATTTGTTGTAAGTTCGGCCATCTCTCACAAATTGACAATATAATTTTAATTCCTCTGTCTAACTCTATGTAAATAGAGGTGAGACAAATAATTATTTATTATTTTATTTTATTTGATAAGATATCTTCACAAAATTTGGCAGAGATTATTTTCTATGGCAACGCTACGATACTGAAGAAGTTTTTAGATCGGACCACTATACCATTTATGTAGTTGTGATACAAACTGAACGATCAAATATAAGTTTTTGTATGGAAACTTCTTTATTTGAGAGGGCTTTTTTTTGTTGATATAAAGTTTAACTTAGACCTTCCGTACTTGTTTTAATTTATTAAGTTTATATCAAGCGTAAATTATCAAATATTAAAAGTAGTCAAAAATAATTTCTCAAAATATTTTCTGTTTTATACGACTATGTACATATGTACACAGATGTGCGTAGACAACGGTGTGTTGTTTTACAAATTTAACACCTTATTGGCAATAACAAGTCATTGATTTTCACCGGCCTTCATGCAAAGTTGAAATAGCCAACCAATCAACTCCATTCAAGTTCGTAAATTGTTCTTCAGAAGGCCATAATTAAATGATGATTCTTCTTGCAAGGACATTTCCCCCAGTTAACTTTTTCCATGATGTTTTACTCAAGGCATATAAATGTATGAACAATGACTGTTTCTTTTTCTTGCTTTTATGTTATTAATGGTATGTTTATTGTTTCTCCTGCTGTTTTCAGTCATCTAAATTTTGTAACTGCTACTTGAAGTGCACAATGTACGTCCCATGGATGCATCTCATATGATGCAGCTCACTGTTAATTGCTTCCTTGTCGTACGGACAATTCATTGTCATTATACATACACGGTCACACTTGTTGACACCAATCACTTATGTTACGGACACATATTGCTTTTTTTTATGATATGGGAGTTTCATAATTTTTAAAATAAAACTTGGCTCACGTGTCTCTTGGAATTGTGTTGAAGATGGGCAGAATTGGACCATTGCAACGCCAAAAAAATTCCGTTAGGCGAAAAACTATAAAGGGCTATACCAAGCCAGCAATTAAGATACACACCTGTAAATTGGTACAGTTAAAACTATTTTAAAAGTGGACTAGGCCCCGCTCCTAATAAGTTTAATGCATATATCTCACAAACCGCAAAAGCTGTATCAACCAAACATACTGAACACAATAATCCTCCTCATAGAGTGTGAAATCCGATGATAACAACGCTCCCGCCCAATATAACTCATTAAATCAATAAATACGCCAGAAGCATTAAATTTTTCAGTCAGTATAATTCGGAAGGGATTCATAAGAGCTGCCATCTTTAAAATTGCTATTGAGCGTGGTACTGACCATACTGATCTTTACCTGAAAATCTATATCTATTTCAAGAATTGTTCGAAATATTTTCATTATTATGTTTGATTGACTAAGTTGTCTCAATTAAGTGAGAATAATTCGATTAGTATTATGACATCCATTTTTATTTCTTTCAAATTGCATGGGTATAAAATATTCGGTGGCATCAGAGTTTCTATTTCCTTGCTAGTTTTTATAACATTTTTACATTAGTACTAGAAGAAAGTGTAGTAACCTGGACAAATTGTCAATTTTTGTAGAAAACTTCCTGCAAAAATTGTGTTTTTTTACTTTTGTATATTGCAAATGGTTGAGTTTTATGTAGGTGCTGTTTGGAAGTCAATCGTTCAAAGTTTTTTGAGTATATTCCATTTGATATTCTTTGTGATATCAGTTGACAGTTATCGTTACACTTCACAATTAATGATTTCATCCCTAATATGCCTACCTCAAAGTGGGTAGTACACGATTAAGAAACAATGATTGCATTCTATGGACAGCGGCACAGCGGCGGTGTGTCGCATCATGACGGTCGGGATCTCCGCGCGTCTGGCGTTCGCTCAATTAACACATTCTAGTGTGAGGTCTGAATGCACATAAAAACACTAGCGCGTACGCTGAAAATCGTCGGGTAAATGAAACTACCCTGAGGAAATATTCGAGTTTATAACTATGAATAAAGCCGAACTAGTTCAAAAACCATTTAAACCAATTTTTCGCCAAAGGTAGGTACTTCAATTGTCGACTTTATTTTGGCAAATCGTTACATTCCAATTAAAAACTTGGAGGATATGATAAAGACTAGAAAGCTTTGTTAGTATAATATCATAAATCATTGATAGAAATATCAGTAACTTTTACGAGTCAGTGATAAAGGTTTGCTAGTTATTGGAATCTGTGTAATAATATTGTAAAGCAATTAATTTCAACATAAGATAGTGTTCAAAAACAGGCTCTAAACTATATAACCAAAGAACGATTAATACTCTGAAAAAGTGTAACTAATGAAAAATAAATTTAATTCTTCTTGCTTTCGCCGAATGCTGACCATTCTTTGAAAACGTATGAACATATTACAGATTAGTTGGCATTTCCAGAGCACCACAACTTTGGTTAAGCAGTTGCTTTTGTAAAAAAATAGCGTGAATGTAAACTAGAATGGAACCTAAGCAATTTGTAGTATTTTATTTCTTGCGGGGTAGGTGGTATATGTACGTTTCTAGGTATTTTTACCTAGATAGTGAATTTGAACCACGAAAGTAATTTTTTGTGGGGATATATCAAAGAGGGAGGATCGATTTCAATGTTAAAGTAATTTATTAATGTGAATTAAACTGGCACGACTCCCGTTACGTTGTTTATTGGTTGGCTTGCTACATACTAAATAAGAAGAATTTACAGATATACTTATGACTGTACATGTGAACTTTCCTATATATAATGCTTGATTGTTTTTTCTTGACAAAGGTGTCATAAATGAAGATGCAATGGTCTGAATGGGCGTGATTGGTCATGTGTCGATAATTGAATTACATACGTTATCAATGCGATTAGCTTAGAAACTTTGGTTTTGAATTATAACAAGCAGATATTTAATATCCGCTTATGCAATTAATTTTTGGCATGCTTTACTAATTAACATATTCGTTGCTAACACAAATAATGAACGGATTTTCTAGAAAAACTTAACATAAGGCTTGTACTAACTTATCATATAATGACATTGTTTAAAACTATAAGAGGTATGTTTCGGTAGAGATTAACGACATATGAGGGCCATAAACATCTCAGTTTAAAAATTATACCCTCGGCGAGAGTGTACCAATTTTTGCATCCTAACACATAACTTCTCAATTACTCGACTAATTTACCAAATTTGGTATCAACCTGCCAAGGCAATGGCGCTCTTTCAGCATATTCTAAAAATTGCGCTCCACCCGACCTATTCGTCATATACAAGTATCATTATTTTGAATACCATTAGTTTGGGTTACCTTATCTTAAGTTTAGCTTTTCTCTTTAAATAAAACAAAACCCACCAGTACCTTTTCCTAGTTCTAATTTTGTAATATAACTGAACATATACATATACACTCATATACATAACTATAGATAGCGCTGATTATAGGTAATAGAAATATTTTATATTTTTACCGTTGATTTTAACATCTAACACTGGGAATGTCCACTCTAAGATGAAATTGAATATCTCAGGAACTAATTTGGCGAATTGCATTATCCTGGACGAACAACACCCACACCTGCTTCCCATATATCAAAATAGTAAATTCTTTACGATTCTTTTACTTTGCTACTGTTTACTAGTTTGATTAATAAGATGTAACAACATGTATGTAATCTTTTTTCCCAACTATAAAACATGACGCCTTTATCGGTTTAACTCAATGAAGAGGCTTAGAGTGTGCAAATTATTTGACGTGACGGGCTTATATATTCTGGCTTTGTCATAATTAAGTACGAACTTAAATGCATCTACAGCTACCGAAATGATACGTAATGGTTTCTATGATTCTTTTACCATAAATAAGGCGCGACGCGTTTGCTACCTTTATTGCGAAGTTCGGTCCTTCTTATGAACTTCCGCGAAAAATGCGCGTAATAAACGTACTGTCGCCAGCAGCAATAACAACAATATGTATAATAGATAGTGTCTACATGAGAATATTCTTTAATTATGCACAAAATACAGTTAGAGTATTTGTGCAGTAAGTTTACAATAGAAGAAGATTTTTACGGACAATAAAAGAATCGCTAACAAAAGCTGTGGGTATTTTCCCAACAATTTTGGAACAAGATGAAATATCATTGTTGTCATCATCGGGTTTGAAAAACATCGGTATCATGTATATACATGATATATAAGTACATATGAATGTATATATTTGGTATTATTCTCTTAGCTTCGAAACACTGGATATATATGTATGTACGTACATTTCGTCATTTTAAAATTTTGACAGCATTTCTTTAGTTATTTTATGTGTTTATGATTATTTCAATTAGTTGAAGTACGAAAGTGATACTTTTTCTATTTCAAGTCCTTTCAAAGTTTTTCTATTTTGGCATTCGTTTTAATTACTAACACTGGGAGGTAGTCGCAATATAGATGCAGAAATATACATACGAACGGTGCTTGAAGCGTATTGTATTTAGTCAGTACATGCGTGCGTCTGGCCTCGAAAATCGTTATGACTATTTGATTTGACCTTGTAATGCAGCGGCGTAAAGCGTTGAAAATCTCGCGCTAATAATGCGCTCTGCACGTAGAAGAGCATCGTTTATAAGCAATAAAGAGCTCAGCAGGTAGGCATGCAAACATTAGACATTGTTCTAAGATAAAATCTCATATGCTTATCCGAGTTTTCCACTCCGACTTCTACCGTGTCTTGAGTCGACATAAATATTATCCGTTCGGATAAAAATTCCCCTAAAAAAAAATAGAACAGAAAAGTGCAATACATTTTCCTCGCCCTGACCTGCTGTTTGTTATTTTGCAACATGCAATATATATGTGATATATGTACGGATAGTACTGCTTTCACCCTTTGTAGATGATGGTGAATGAACTGAATGAGTGTTTTCAGCATAGTATATGAGGGGAACTCAAATTGTGCTCACTCGGCATCATATTTAGATGGTCGTACGCACACAGCATGTGTCGAAAATGTCGTACGAAGGAATATTTATGTGCTATGACGAGCGAAACGGTGCAACAACAATAATGTAAACAGAGTATGAGCCATACTAACAACAACAAATTTCAGGGAAGGTCGTGTGCCAAAATAAAGGAATAAGCACGGCGTTAGAAAAAAACGCAGGCAGTAGAGCTAAGGTTTCGAGGGTATTTTAAGCTGGATCAGACATTTTACTACCACATTTGCTAAGGTAACTTCAACAGGATCACATCGTTGCAAACGTTAGCTAAAATAATATTTAGTGATTTAAGTTATAAATATATTAAAAATATGGCTACTACCAACTACTACGCTGAGTACGCAAACAACGCAATGATGACTCAGCAACAAGCGTATGCTTATAATGGATATTACAGCAACAATATGCCTTATTACGATACAGCCGGTGGCAGCAACTTTATGCACAATTTGGATCACACCCGTTTTTCTAGTGAAGTATGGAGTTATAACAACTCAGCATCTACAGAATCATACTGTCAATATATTGGTTATAAAAATACGATTAATCAAAATACTTCCGACGGGAGGAAGGATGAAGCGAAGAGAAGTCCTTTTGTTGTCACAGATTTAAAAACTTTTGAGGATAAACACTCTACTCAACCGATTAAGCGAAAGCAAATCGAATGCGAGGAAAATATATCACAAGAAACAGAAAAACCCAGTACCTTACGTTCCTTACTTACTAATCCTGCAAAGAAATTGAAGTATAATCCAAACTACTTTTTTACCACAATGGAAAAGGTTAGCTCGCCAAATAAACAATCAACCAGCAAATGCAGTACAAATTCCATAAGTGATAATGGAACTGGTTACCCAGCCAGTGCACCGTCCAGTTTGGAGCAGGATGTTACCGTTGACGGCAGTCGTATATCAACACCTTCCACCCATAGTACACTGCCATCACCAAGCCGAACCGAAATGAGTTATTTGGAGGCATACTCTCCACAATCTTTGAAACAATTGAATCATGGAAAAACCAGCGATTACTTTACACCACCTCCATCGAATGCATCTGCAACTATGCCGGCAACTACAATAGAGCAGCCATTGTTGGCGATCGCGTCAACTATTGCTGAACCAATAAAAACCAGTCTCTCCAGAAGCACATCTCACGTCGGTGGTATTAGCACACCACCCTTGTCGCCGCAAGACCAAACTGTCAATCAACATAAAGACCAGCCATTGCAATTGCAGCAACATGAAATCAATCATCAAATTTTGACAGATACAGCAGCAGAGATTAATTGGTCCCTCTGTGAAGACAATTCACCAGCAGGTTAGCATTTGTCAACCCCTATCATGATATTTATACATATGTATAGTTATTTATTTATATGCTTATTTTAGTTATTTAATAATATTATTACTTCTATTGATTGTAGATGGTAAAGATTCAAAGCGCACACGTCAGACCTATACACGTTTCCAAACGGTGGAGTTGGAAAAGGAGTTCTATTCAAATCGTTATATTAGCCGCAGTCGTCGTATAGAAATTGCCAATACGTTATCACTCACTGAACGTCAAATAAAAATTTGGTTTCAGAATAGGCGCATGAAATGCAAGAAGGACCGCACCCTGGAACCCGCCGCTCCGGAATTACATGGTCTTCCACACTACCCAACCACCAACTCTGAAGCTTGTCCACCTGCGCAATCATCTTCCCCAGGACAATATTTGTACTTGGGTGCCCAAACTAACGGCCCCATTCCGCCTACTTATCCAAATTACATGGCTGGTGGGCAAGCTTATTCGCCAAATGCAATGACCGCTTATCCAGCACAGGATACTTTTCCACATTGTGGCCAAATGTATGGTGCTAGGTCAGCAGGACAATCACTGTACAATCAGAATCATCATCAGTATCCACAGCAGTCACCATATCTATTGGCCCAGCAGTATCCACCACACACCTACCAGCAGCAGCAGTACCTCCAACAGCGCCAGCATAAACAATCTTTAGACCAATCAATAACACAACAACAACTGCAACAGGTATTGCCTTCACAGCATCAGCATCAACAGCAAATGGCAAACTCATCAACAGGATCCTCGATGTATTTGCCGTAGAAGCCAAAGCGTGGTGATCCACAAACGTTAGAAACACACAGTCAGTTGACTGTGCGGTACTCAGAGGGTGCATGGATGCACAAACATTTCGATTTTCTGCCGTTTAACTATGTTAGATAAACGGTCAAAGAAAAATACCGATTTTTGAGGGATCGCAATGAAAGCACACAGGTAGATCCCCTGCGGACTCGTGTGCACACTCTAGTAGAAAAATACATTCACAGGAAAACTCACTTCCGTCAAAAGGTTGACATTTTACCGATTTTACCGTAGATAGTAGGACAAGGATGGATTAGAGTGCGTTTCGAGTAAAGTTTTCAGCTGCTGAGTTTACAGAGCAGCGAAGCGGGTGACAACCGCGGTCAAAATTCATAAATTATTAGAGTACTTCTATAGAAGTATACTCAGCCGCCTAGTTCTACTAGAACCAGGTTGTGCATTGTGATGAAAGCCGAATCATACAAAAAATGTAAAGCATATATGTATAAAGGAATACCTGATAGATATAAATGTATAAGCAAGTAGTAATTTAATAATATTTATAATGAGTTCTTTATTTTATATAAAAATCTTTGATATAATATATTGTATATTAAGACTAAATTTTGGAATTGTCTAATTGTCAGGAAACGGTTAGCCAACTATTTAGTAGAAATCATCCCTAGAATGTTGTAATTAATATATATGCAGTTAAACCCTACGCAAATAGCCTCGCGTTTATATGTACAAAGTTTAGTGAAATCACAACAGCTGCAACGATTTCCCCCCTATCGCCAATATTTTTCAGCAATAAATTCTACTTTTCGAAACAAAAACTGTCACATTTTGGCTACCCTACATAAATATAATTCAATGCATTTTGCACAACGCATTATGTCCCGCACTGAAGCGGTCGGGCTTAGATGCACCACCACCAACTATCACCGTGCAGAAACGCGTGCACTAACATGTGTCTACATAAATACATAGACACAAACGCTTGTACTTACGATGGCTGGTAACATATAGTACCTTTTCTATTGAATTACATACTTTAAACATTGATTGGTCATTTTTCAATTTGTACCCAAATGTGCCCTAAGCATAACATTGAGTGCAGTGTGTTCGCAATGACGTGTGTTTACTCTTGAATGAAGCTATGAAGTTGATAGTTTATTTCAGGAGAATCGATAAAAGTGTAGAGAGACATGAAGAAGTTCTATAGCACATTCGAAACAATATCATAACAATCCATATGCATGTCACAGATACTTTTGTTGTAGTTTCCGTCAAAATAAGTAAGTCATTAAGTTTTTACAGGTGTAATATAGTGAGCATTAACTTGATCAGTCTAATAATTCCGTTAGTTTTTACATTTTATTATTCACTTTCATGGAAACTTCCACATGTTATTTTATAAGAAATGGCTACCAATATGTGGGTGTTTCATTTCGAGGTTCCCTACTTTTTAAAGAAAAAAACACAGAAAATTCAAATTGAATGAGGAATTTTTATTATCAATCAAAAGAACATTTTTTTGCATTTATTTTTGAAGATCATCTCTTTCTAATGATGACCGCTGCTACGTCTCCGATAGTCCATCCGTTGAGTCCAATTTTCGATGACTCGTTCGAGTATTTCGATTGGTAACTGGCGAATGACACGCGTGATGTTTTGCTCCAAGGCCTGAATCGAAGCGGGATTATTAACATAGACTTTAGACTTTACATATCCCCACAGTAAAAAGTCTGTGGTGTTATATCACACGTCCCAAGAGGTGAAATTATTGGCCACCAAGGTGTTCTCTCAATAAATTCATTAATTGATGCGATGTGTGGGAAGTGGCGCCATCTTGTGGAAAACAAATGTCGCCGAGATCACGAGCTTCAATTTCCGGCATTAAATAGTCGGTTATCATGGCGCGTAAACGGTCGCCATTGACGGTTACGTTCTTACCGGCACCATTTTTGAAAAAATATGGACCAATGATTCCACCGGACACAAACCACACCAAACCGTCGGATCTTCTTGGAACATTTCAAGAGCCCATAGAGCAAAGCGATGTCGCTTGGGAAGGTCGAGCGGCTTTAGTTCTTGCACAAGCTATACTTTTTATGCTTTCAATTTCAGATCTCGTTGTAAAATGGACCAAGTTGTTCCATACGTCAGTCCGAGTTGCCGCGAACGGCGCCGAATCGATACTCCACGGTATTTGTGTATACTCTCAGCTACGGCCGCTATATTTTCTTCACTGCGTGCTGGACGTGGTCTATTCGAATATTATCCAATAATTAATGCTGTTGCAAATCATAATTTGAGCGAAGCGCGCGAAACACCTTCTTTACAGAACGTGAATTTTCGTAATAAAGGTGAACAATTTGTAAATGTTGTTTAGGCGTAAGTCTTTTCACGATGAAATGTCAAACAATATTGAACAAAAATAATATGACAGCTTGACACGACTCTCGCGTGATCTGTTAAAAAGGGCTATTAAAAAGTACCTATTCTTGGATCGCCCGTTATATCGTGAATTTTTATCAGATATCTATAATAAGAAGCATCGCAAGACATTCGCCTCTGTAAATGAAAAAAAAAACACACGTTAACTTCGGTTGCTCTGATGCTATAATACCCTTCACAAATACAAAAGATATCATACATAAACTTGAGTCCGATCGTTCAGTTTGTATGGCAGCTATATGCTATAGTGGTCCGATCTGAACAACTTCTTCGAAAATTGCACCATTGTTTTAGGCTATAACCCATGCCAAATTTCGTGAAGATATCTCGTTTCCATACAAGGAGTAGATTTCGTTCGTTCAGTTTGTACGGCAGCTATATGTATCCGATATCGGTCGTTTCAACAAATGAGCAGCTCATTAAGGTGAACAGGAAGTGCTATTTTTCAGAGTGATATCTGAAATACTGAGGGAATAGTTCGCGTATATTTACATACGGTCAGACAGACATTGACAGACATGGCTAAATCGACTCAGCACATCACGCCGATCAGTTATATATAGTATATATTTATAGGATCCTCGACGTTTCTTTCTAGGTGTTACAAACTTCGTGGCAAACTTAATAATAATGAGCTTATATGGAAAAAAGTTCGATTTGATGACATTGGGCAATATCAATCATATATACTCGTAAATATTAATGTTTTTTTGTCCAAATAAATTAACAATAAAATTTAGGTATGGCGTAAATTGCTTTTGTTAGAATGAATTATTGTGTGAATTATTGAAAAAAGGGATCCTTTACGGTTTTATTGAATTAATCGCGGTTTGGATAAAACCATTTAAATTAGCTAAGGTAAAAGTGAAATAAAGTTTATCTGTCTTCATCATATACTTTATGTAGGACTTTAACGTGACTGACAAACAAAACAGTTCCACAAACACGTTATTCCAAGAATTGAAGCGGAAAAATTTCTGACAAACTTTGTAATTTTTATACTCTATACATATAGTGAATTTAAGGTACACTATCTCAAGAAAAATTGTCGAAATCGTAGTATAAGAGATCTGAATGTGGGGATCCTAGGATTTGTCCTAGTCCCCTTGTATCCAATTTAAAAATTTTCGATTTTCCGGATGACTTTATAACGTATATATATGTCAATATATAAGATACCTTAATAAAATTAAGTGAACGTATTATATTTGAGATACTATAGTTTACGATCGACGAATTTCCCCAGCTCCCATTTTTCACATATAATAATTTTCGTTAGTCTAGCAATCTTTATTCCGAATATATTGGTGACTGTGAGTTAAATGTTTAAAATTGAATGGAAACATGTTCTCCAGTATATGTAAAATATAATTTAAATATCTCGGGCATGAAGCAAAAAGTAGAGATAAAATTAAGTGAGTGTATGATCCTTATACAGTATAAAATAATATAATGAAATACAAAATGTGGTTGAAATCCATTCACAATTGGGTCAAATAATAAGTGTTAGATCAAAATTTGTATACTCTCCCTACATGTTTCTACAGGATATAAAGTTTTGTTCACTGAAACTTTGGCCACATCTTCCTTGGCAAAGGAGGTTGGTATTGCATGTGGGCGAATCGGACTATTGCCACGCCCATAAAGTGCTGTTAATCATAAACATATAAAGTGTCTTAATTAAGCTCTACAATAAGAAACAAAAATGTAATTTAGTGCGGGCATTCGAATATGAATGTATCTGTGGTTTAAAACTTCTTCAAACATTGTGAAAATAGAAGAAATCACATGATAAACGCTCACCCCACATATAATGATTATGTTTAAAACTATTAAAAGTGCAACTCCATAATCACAATTAAATTCCATATGATTCTGTCACTTTACGGTGTATAAATCGAGAGCCAATGATGTTAACTACATACACAGAACTTTGCACTCAAGTGCACGTAATACTATCTTATGTCCAAAAATAGTCGATATCGGATATAACTAACTAACTATAACTTTTCTACCTCCTAGATCGATTAGTTTTAGGTATTATACACAATCGTTGGGTGGACAAAACATTAATACTCTCTAGTAACAAATATGATGTTTTCCGACCTACTGGTTGATGTATGTTACTTCTCTGCAGCACTAATATGACAAATATAGTGATTGAATTTAATATAAAATATTTTAATTTGTCTTCTTCATGAAATTATTTGGATTTTGCAACTTTGCACAAACGTTTGTCAAAAGTGGACTTCACATATTTACCTGTAACCTTCAAATAATTTAAAAGTTTTTGACCATGGTTCAAACGAAAATATTTACTGAACGTCTCATCATACAAATCGCATTAATATCACTTGATGGTTGGTGAAGTATGTATCCAACTATTGTTTTATATTCGTGCCACTTTTTGCTACCATGTTCTGATGTGAACCGTCTTTCATTGACGGTGTTCTCCATCGACCGAAACAAATGGTAGTCAAAAGGGGTAAGTTCTAGGCTCTAAGGCGGGTGAAGCAAAATTTTGCAGTCGCTGTTTTGTTTTTAACGGTTTTGAACCATGCGGCTGAGCGTTGTTGTAAACGGTAGCGTTTTCTATTGATGGTTTTACCTGGACATAGATTTTCTTAATAAAGCACGAACTTCTGATCCTACCAAATACAGAGCACCTTGGCATCATGGATATTCGGCTTTGTCGCTCATTTTGCTGGTTGGACAGACTTTACATATGAGTTTTGCATTTAAGGTTTTCGTAATGGATGAATTTTTTTTCAGCAGTCACAATCGGATGCGAAAACGACTTCTTTTTGTAACGTTTAAGCATCATTTTTGACATGCAAAATCGTCTTTTAACGTTTCTTAGCTGCTTGAGTTACTTCCAAAGATTATGCGAGCTCCTATTATGTTTGGCAACAATCTTCATCGAGTAATGCTTCCAGTTCCTCGCCTTCAAAATTTTTGGTTGCAAATCACTTTGGGCACTCTCGCTCAGCATGAACATGTTCACCATAAACTTCCATCAAAATATCATGACTTTCGGTTGAGGTTTTCTTTATATTAAAATAATGAAGAAGAACTCCCCGCTAACACACTTTTTCAGGCACAAAGCTCAACATATTTAACTGAGAAAAATTATTGTTTACGTTTAAATGAATGACATATATGGAAAAAACGACCAGAACAGTATCCCTTTTTAGGTAGGTAGGTAAGACTGCAACTCCTTCGTGTCTTTCTAATGCATGTTCGGAATATTGGAACAATGATATAATAACAAAGTTACGCTATCTCATGGCAAACCGCTCGAATATATTTTGTTGGCAATTAAATAATTACGGATTTCCCTCATAGATGGCTTGAGTTGAATTTTTAGGTTTGGTGG